TCTCCTACGTCGATTTAACCGAACTGCAAAAGAAATGACATAATAGTCGTACTATAATCGGACGATATTTTCTTATTCTTTGGAACGAAGTTTCTATGCGAGTAGAAACTGGTTTCTTCGTACTTTTCAGCAGTTAAAAGTTTAATTTTTTAAACCGATAGGCTGGAGTAACAGTTTGCATTTAAAGAAGTAATGGTAATCCGGTTGAGGAAGTACATTTTACTACGGTAAATGGTTCAGAAAACTGTGGAGGCGGGTAAAATCGATATATTCGAGAGAATATAAAACAGCGATGATAAGTCACCCCTTTGTTTTATCACGCTGTGATCTGTAAAAGCACCTTGTACGCTGTTATTAGCTGTATTACGTCAAGCAGGAAATTGACCGCCAGCCTTCACATTCGGTTTGGCTCTGTTGTGGTGTCGACACAGTCTTAAACCAGTGTGGACCGGGAGCGAGTTTCTTTTGGGGGTAAAGGCGGTCCCAGCATGACGCTGACAATTTATAACCATGAAATATCGACGTTATGAATCCATTGAGATTTACTACCACTTCCCTCGATGTGTCTGTCGCCCTTTATTGGCATAACTATTATCAACGAAGGTCAGGGATTAGGTCGATTGTAGTCTTCTGGGCTGTGACGCGTGTAGAAGGCAGGCCGAAACGTTGGTAACACCTACTAAAAGACTCGACGGAGTTACAAACCAAAATACCACAGTGGACCTCGTCATAGCCGTGAGAACCTCAAATATTAGACAGTCGCGGATTAAATATTGTGGGTATGTTTACTTTTTAGATATGTAGTGCTGTGATTTTTAGGTGTTGGAATGACTTGATATGCGTTGTTATCTTATGCAGACCCTGTTGTGAATGTGCAAATTGTTTTAATTTTGTCGCAGTGTACTCTGTACCAGCTAATCGGAGGTTGGTCACCCACTGGACGGCTGTCTTATCCAATTACTTAACGGTGTTATTAGAAATTTGTTATATTCTTAGGAAGTTTGTTTCGAGGGCATCGTTCCAGAAGGGCGTACCGGCATATTTGCACAATTAGATATATTTTTGAGATGGTAAAGTTGCGTCATATTGTGATATAATAAATATATATTTTAAATATATTTAAAATATATAGATATATTTTGTTGTATGTCATGCAAGAAGGGCATGATGCCGATGCTACATTTGGGCATATGACCACTAATAATGCACATTTATCGAAGTAAGCGTAAGAGTTCAGTATCTTGTAAATCAGTAATTTTGTTGATATGCCTTTGTGGCATGATGCCTGCGGTTTGTTTACCGTGGCTATCAAAAATATTTCTAGAGACTTTTAAATTTGTCAGAAGATTTCTTTTATTTTAATTCCTTGGTTTTTATGATACTCGGCACTTTGAAGAGACTTTTAAATGCCGGCCATCGACTAATACGGAAGTATTTTAAGTGGTACACTGAAGGTTAACCACCAAGGGGAAGGCTTGTGGTCATCAGAATTCAACTGTCAAGAGCAAGGCCGACATCCTGTGGGGTAACTAAAATGCCACGTAACCTCTGCGTTTGGGACTCAAATGTCTGGTTCGTTTTCTCTTACTACATTATGTAGGCGGTGATATGAGCGGGTTTAATTTCTCTGAAGTTTTTGCTCACAAAATTAGTGCAGCTTGTTAAACGAGGCTACCTGCTATATTATGCTTGAGAAATTTGCAGAGAATCGTAAAATATAAATGACCGTAGTAATAGACCTAGTAGCGTGGTGAGTGGAAGCGTTGTGTACAAGGAAGATAGTCCAAGAACTCGGTGTACTGTCCGATATACAAACATCAGTAATAGTTGACAAGAATGAAAAATTACTTGTGTTCAGCGATGTAAAATGTGGACTATCCCATAAGAATGTTGACCGTGAAGGCTAAGACTGAACTCATATTATTTCTTCCTTAAATTGCATACATTTTTGTAATGAGTTAACCATGATAATTTTCAAGATACTGTCTTGAAATATGCTTAGAGAAACTTGTAAAAATTACGAAAGTCAGAATATCTGGCGACCTGTGCAATATTCGAACCGAGTACCACCAAATTGCAAGTTACATGAGCTGAGACACGATGAAACAGCTGGTAGTCAACAGTCTGAGTACCAACATGCAGATAACCCTCAAGGTCCTCTATATTTTCACAGGCTTGTTCTAATTTAACTTCTACAACATGCTAAAATTAGATTTAATACTTCCCCATGCCTCATTACTAAAATGAATGATCCTAGCCAAAAGTTTCCACAAGTTCACATGAGCGGATAAAATGTTTACCCCACAATTACAGCTACGAGGTAGTGATACCTCAACGCAGTTGTTGGCTGCAGAGTGGACGGGCGGATTTCGATTTCCGTCGGGGGCACTTCTGCTCGTCCTCTCATCACTGAATTAAGAACGGATCTTGAGGCCGCATGTATTATCTCAACCCCGTGCTTTCCTGTATGACATGGTGCTGGAAACGGAGACACGTTTAGCATGCCACAAAAGTTTTTTGCAAACGTCCAGCGCAAGTGAAGCCAGCTTTTAGTGTAATCATGCAGCACCAAATTTCATTGAAGCTTTTAAGTAGTTTCAGAGATGCAGGTGGACATTTTATTGTACGTAACTAACTGAAGAAGATTTGTGTCTTCTGGGTTGTTGCGCCCTGTTGACGGAGGCAGTATGGCCTCTGAAACATTGGTTAACATCGACCAGACTACACCGCGCAACAACCCAGAAGACAGAAATCTTCATCGCCCTGATGACGGTGGCAGTATGACCTCTGAAACGTTGGTTAACATCGACCATACTACGCAGCGCAACAACCCAGAAGACAGAAATCTTCATCGCCCTGATGACGGAGGCAGTATGACCTCTGAAACGTTGGTTAACATCGACCAGACTACACAACGCAACAACCCAGAAGACGGAAATCTTCATACTAAGAATCGCCCTGATGACGGAGGCAGTATGACCTCTGAAACGTTGGTTGACATCGACCAGACTACACAACGCAACAACCCAGAAGACGGAAATCTTCATACTAAGAATCGCCCTGATGACGGAGGCAGTATGACCTCTGAAACGTTGGTTAACATCGACCAGACTACACAGCGCAACAACCCAGAAGACAGAAATCTTCATAGTCACCGCTGTGAAAACCTCAAATCTTACAAACTGACGGAAGCTATATCGGACCTGTGTTGAGTGGATATTTTCTTTATTTAGTCGATGTGACGTCTCGAATTTCTTTCCCGTTTATGATGCAGGAAATGATGTTTCTTGTTTTATTGACAGGAGTACGGACTCATGGTAACGCTGGGATCAAATTGATATTGTGTGATGAATGTGGTCCATTCACGACTGCATCCTTATGTAATGACACCCCATATTGAAAGATCAAATGCACTTGACATTTACGTCGGAATCTTGCTCCATTGGACCAGCTGTTGGTATATACTTGTATTTTGCCACTGCTGAGATGTGGTTACAACAGAAGTCACGACCTCTGTTTAGGATCACAAATTGGTGACTGTTTCGGAATGGCAGAATCTTGTTGAGTCTCATTAAGCTCAAGAACACTTGTTAATTGAATCGTATTTATTGCTCATACATGTCTTCGCATTACAAATATGGTACGCTTTTTATATCCTTTGCTTCCGAAGGAGGTGATCCTGGCTCTTCTGTTTAAATATGTTTCGTATCTTACTTGACTCTAGTTGTGGTTCTCATAGAATTTACGTCACGGGAAACGCACTTGGGGCGTCTTGCGGCTGACCGGATGTAATGTGCAGCTCTAAGGTGTGATTGAGAGTATAACGAGATTGTAATTTTCAGGCCTCTTGAAGAACACTTTAAAATAGCTTCATTATCTGCATTCAGGAATTTGTTTTCTTAGCCTCCTTTCGCGAGGAAGAAAGCAAGGTTTTGAAACACCATGTCTGTATGTGTGCCCATTTTATAAAGCATTTCACCGGGCTTAATGCCATTTCAGGCCACCCTAACCTGATACTTTCTTCTTTCCTACGACAGTATTAAGAACAATACTTGTAAGGTAGGATCGACCCAAGTACCGCGTAATATGGAAGCCCGAAATGGTAATGGTTTGCCGAAGAAAAGTATGCAGCTGTTGGATGATGTTTTTATCCATTCTGTGCAACAAAAATTGTCAGTCCGAAAATGAAAGTAGTGTAAGCGCACGGCTGGCATCATAATTACAATAATTAATGAACTTCCTGTATTTGTCGGCATGTGGCTTTTATGCACCTACTACTAATTGCTGCTGTTCATGCCAGATGTCTTTTTTTAGCAAAGACACCAGTATCTCTGCTTAATTTGAAGGAAATCATGAATTAGTGTTAATGATTTTTCGAGACGTGAGACGAAGCCCCACGGCAAAATGGAGGTGAAAACTATACTTCTCTTCGCTTCCATATCCCCTGGTGGGCAGGTCGGTAGGTCAGGAATCTAGTGTTGATGCGAAGATAACATTTGCAAAGTTCCAGTCCTGATGTCGTAAGTTTTTAATGCGTATTTGTATTTGCACAAATACTCATCTAAACTGTAGTACAGTTATATATTATTCAACTACATGCTTTAACATTTTCCACGTGGAGGTCAAACCAAGAGCGATTAAAAATGAAGCCCGAAAAAATAGAATGTGTAATTGTTTGTAAAGCATGCGCAAACCAGCAACCCTTTGTAAACGAGCAGTACGTAATCATTAGTATTATAATTCATGTTATTGCTGTATTATTTGTGCTGTATTTGCGAGGCTCTAAGTGATAGAGAAACTGGTATTTCTTTTGTTTTACGTAGCAGTTGTAGTATTGTAGGCTTGATATATGAAGATGAAAAAATGGCTGCCATAGAAAATGCTAATCAGATTGAAATGTACAGTGATATTAATGGGACTTCAACTTCGTCACACTCAAGATATCATTTGCTTATTTATGTTTTAAATTTGATGCTAATTCCATGTTCTTTTTCTTTCAGAGAGAAAAAACAGAAAATAGAAGATATTAAAAAGAATATACGAGATGCAATATTAGTAAGTACCCATTTATGTAACATAGATTAAAATTTACAAAAGATGACATTTGGATTGGAACTAACGAGTAATTTCTAATATTTTGAATTTTTAAAACTATAATCTGTATAAAATTTAGTTCACTGGTGGCGTATTTGTAATGGCTATTCACAGCTTTACCGTTGGCGCACTTTACTGCTAATACTAAGCATAAAAGGATGTTGTGGGGCGCAGTCTGGTGCTTGCATTCTCACGTGACTTCGAGTTAGTCGATTTTCCTGTCAAGTTTCCTTTCGTACGCTGCTGTAGCACGGCCTTACGTTAATGAGAATGTAGGACAGGTATATAAGTTTAAAAAAAAGGTTATTGGGGGTGAGTCTGGTGTGGTTATGGCGGCTGACTGAGAAAACTGTTTTTTTATGGTCTAGCAAACGTCTAGTATTTATAAATTAGTGTATGGTAACTAAACTACGAGCTGGACAACCGGGGTTTGATTCCTGACAGGGGCGGGGTTTTTTCTCTTCTCCATCACGTCCAGATCTGTAGCTCTGATGCAGAACCGGAGATTTGTATCTGACGTGTGTCTTGGGGGATGGGAATTGGTCACTCACCTTCTCTACTGCCGAAGGCAAGAATACGTGGAACTGTATCTCCACTTCTATGTACGTTTTCATGTCGTTGTCCAGCAACGACCCTGCCAGTCGTGATTCGTTTGCAGTTGTATTAATTCTTTCATGTGGAACGATGAGATTTTCAAGTTTACGTCGGAATCTTTTTGCAAAACTACTTGCTGTCGTACGTGAACACTCGTTCCGGTGTGTACCACACACACTTCGTTCCGACATGAAATAACACGGTTGGGTGAGTGAGTGTTATCGCACAGGTCAGGTACAGAGGCAGGAGTTAAAGAAACATGGGGCTAAGGATTCGGCCGTCCCCACAGTCGATGTTCGGCGAGTTGCTGGGGCGCTCGGGGGTAAACCTCACAGATAATGTTTTTCTGCCGTCGGAAATGCTGGCCGGGGAATCCGCAGGCTACCATGGTAACGAAGGTAGTCCAGGGAATTCCCATCAAGCCGCACAACCACGTGACAGAGGCATTTGTGATACGTTTTATTTGCCGTTAATATTTGTCTTTCAGGACGTCGTGCTGTTTTTAAATTGATATGTTTTAGTTCTTTTTCACTGTTATTAATTGACTAGCTTTATGGAGATAGTTCTTGAGAAGTTGGTAGTCACTCTGCTGCTAATAAATTGTACACCCTTAGCGAACGCGAAAGTTAATTAACGTGTTCCCAGCTGTCCATTACTGGTTTCTCTCCTGAAACAGCCGAATTCAGTCCGTATCACCCAACCCTTTTTTTTCCAAATCCATTTTTATATTATTCTTTTGTCCATGTGTATGTCTTGCAAGTGGCCTTTTCCATTCTGGTTTTACAACTAACATTTTCATTACATTTCGTACATTGTACTTATGCTGTCACATCTTTTGTGCCGTGTAGACAATTACGGGTGCAATGAGCACATTGACGCCTCCCATTGCTCTGGAGCATCCGGCCAATCAGAACCGAGTGGATTACATCCAAGATGTTGCTTCACAGCATGACTTCGATTATCCTTCGGTAAGTAGATTCTTAATTGAGATGGATGATGTTATGTTATGTGCTTATACTGTAAAACTGAAATTATGGCTGTAAAGTTTATAGGAAAATAAGGAAATGCCAGTAATATTTTTTATCTGGTTGTTTGTTGTGGGCCTGAGGCTCGCTGAACCAGGGGTCTCGGCAGATAGGCATTCTGTTTCCTTACCTCCGTTTCTACCTGAAGATGGAAGCAGAATCCAGCTTCCAAAATTTGAAACTTGTCAGTATAAAATGCAGAGTTATTGATTGTAGAGGCAGGTGGTACATATAGTAACCATCAGGCTTTTGAGGATTAAGTTTTACGTTAAATAATTCTATCGTTTTGTGATTAGCGTCTTATGTTTCCCACTCAAATGTTTTAATTACGGTCCTAGATGAAGGCCAAGTCCGAGCTGGTATTGGCTGTTTTTTGTTATACCATGAAGGCGGGTGTCTGTTGTAATTTTTTTTGGACATAACATACCACAGTGCAGACATTACGTCGTGTAATTCAGCCCGGAAGATAGGATCATTATGCTTCTCCGAAACGATGGCGTACGGCCAGAACACGGTGTGTCATCCCACGCCACCGTCCATTTTCAGGTCGTCGTGAAAACCTCCTCTTACGTGTGTGTGTATACAGCTTGGTCCAGTGGCGTTGCGAGATTGTGCTTCGTTAAAAGTAATCACTAAACGGTTCGAGTCTACCATTAAAGTAAGGGGGGAAAACTGGAAAAGTAGGCCTGCTCACGTGCTGGTATAACTTTAATAGCCGGTGCGAATCACTTGCACGTCGAACTGCTAGGTAAAGGTGAAGTTGTCCCTGACGCTTAACAGAGTTCGCGCCTTGCAGACGTACAGAAGAGTGGAATTTAGCTCCACCCATTCTTAACCTCGACATTATATGGAGCTTCACGCCCCGGCCGATTTTTCTTTGTACAGAAATCTTAGTCTTAAAGACTACTAATGCTGAAACATCTGAGGACTTCGGCAGGAATTTGGCAGAACTATATAATCCCTTGGGAATTATCTAATTTCGGGTTTGCTGGTGATAACTCTCGTAAAATTAAATCCAGGTTGTATTTGAACAACTTTGGTCTGGTGTCGCAGGTTTCGGTAACTTTGCACTAAAATGAGGCCTAAAAATTTGTGCATTGTTTTGTGTATTATAGTAGACTCTTGATTATCCGAGGGTGGATTAATTGAGGTCTATCTGGTTTAAGCGAAAATTAAAACGTAAAAATGTGCTTCAAGAAAGGAATAAATACAACAAAAACATTATTTAACACATCAACAAGAGTTGTTGCTAAAACCAGACGTTTACGACAGTAGAACGTATTGTTTTCCATTTTAAAAATAGTTGATATGTACTATATGAATTTTATATAAAATTCTCTCCGTTAATAGTAAGTCTTTAAACATTTAAGTAGTGTATGTCTGTAAATACGTTTACGTATTTGTTATATCTGCGTGTTTTTATTTCATTTTTGCGTATTGTTGATTATCCGGGGAAGTATACTATTTCCCAACCAACCCGCGTGAAAGTATGTTATTCATTTATCGATTTACGTGTTGATGGGTGGACAATATGAAAATGCATCTTAAGGAAAATGTGTAGGACAGTGGACTGGATTCATCTGCCTCGGAATACGGCCCCAGGGTTGGCGTCTTTTGAACAAAGTAATGAATATTCGATTTCTGTAAGAGAAGGGGAATTTATTGGCTGGTTGAGCGACTATTAGCTTTTCAGGAAGGACTCTTCTTCGGTGTAGTTGCCTTTTCTTCTAACATTGATCATTTGCGTGAAATTCTAAAGCGGCCATCTTCTGTCAGCTGTTTCGGTTTCGCATATTCTGCTGCTTTTGCCAAGAAGCTATCATATACAGTGTGAGCTGGATTATCTTCTTCTTCTGTTTTTTCCGAATCAAAACGAGAGTTAGCAGTTTCATTTATATAGAGATAATAAACCAATTCTGGCGTCTATAGTGCCATGTGATTTTAAATTTCAATAAAAACCCGTTTATCAAGAACGTAGATTGTAGTTTACTTTCCATGTAATAATAAACTATTGTATGTATCGATAATACTTTAATAAGTGAAGCAAATGGATTATTAAAATGACCAAGAAAGGCGAACCCGTGTACGTTACAGTAGGGATGTGGGTCATGTCGCTCCGCAGATGTAATTTAATTGATTTCCGATATTTTATAAAGTTTTAACAGTGAGGTCTGTTTTTGACACAAAATGCGCATTTGGGTGAGGCCTCTGATGGGAAAACAGCAAAATTAAATTTGGCACTTAAATTTTCAACGCAGCAATAAACTTAAAACAGGCGACTGTATTGTGTCAGTAACGTTTCTATGTAATTGAGAGATCCTTCTGAGACTAGCCCAGAAAAAGTAAAATAAAGTTTGTCCCACTATACGCCATGTAGGCGCTTCGGGTGAGTGGAGGTATAGCTCCTCTCTTCCTTGACCTCGGCACTAGATGGGGGTGAGTGGTCAGCATCACGCTCCGGCCGGCTTTACCCCCGGGAAAGGACCCCGGTACCCATTGTAGAGGAGGCTGGGTGGGCCCCAGAGCCGGTCTGGACGCAGAGGCTAGAGGAAAAATCCTCTGCCCCCGTCGGGGATCGAACCCCGGTCGTCCAGCCCGTAGCGACTAGCCCAGAAGTCAAGTTAAATTTTAACAAATGTGGTGAAATATGGAATTCTGATTAATTTTATATTAAGAAGACTATCAAATTTGGCAGTGGTTCTGGCAGTGTAATTGTTTTAATATGCTTTCGTCATTTAGAAATATGTTAAAAGTATTTTCTGACACTGAAGCTGGGAATTTAATCTTCCACGTCTGTTCTTTCTAATTTGATAGCTCACGTGCCCTCTTTAAATCCAGACGTTGTTGGTGTCTCGAAAAATTTCTATAGTGATTTACATGAAAAATTAATGTTTCTCGCCATACATTGTAAACCACCCTTTCATAGAATTTCGAAGAAGAAACTGCGTTTATACAGTTCCAGATTCGGATTTAGCTTCGGAATATTTGTGCCCTTTCTTTGCCGTGAGGCTTGAAAAATTCTGAATCGTGTTGAGCCTTGCCGGTTGCCGGTCCCCGTGAAATGTTCTCTTATCGGAAGCTATACTGACGAGTGTGCCTGCCTTCCAGCAGTCTCGACGTTACATAAATACTGGCCAACCACAAGCTTGAACGACTTTGACATTGATGATTTTCAATGCCTGGTATTATTCATTTGAGACAGATATGGTAGGCGGAAGTCACGCTTCTCAGCAAATGACACAATGATTTGAACTTTGGCGCAAGTCGAGTTGCATTTTAAACAGTGGAACATTCCCTAGAATTACGTGATTTATTCAGGCACTACACAATGAAATCGTGCGTAGCTCGCTCGTGTTTCGTTCGACAAAGTTACCGACTAATCATGCGCAAGGCTTGGGTATTCAGCATAAACAGAACGGTGCCTTTTCGTTTGTCCACCCTGAGCTGGGCTGGGATATCTACCGTTCCGTGGTCCTGTTAACATTTTCACTTTATAAAAGCAAAATTCGTGAAATTGAAACCTATTTGAAATTTAGATATGCAAGCCATATTATCGTGCAATTACAGCGATTGTGCCTTATGGTTTTGTAATCTTATGAGTTGTTTTATTTTGAGTGTGGTGTGTTGTTTTGTTGTCTCTTATTGTTTTGTTGTGTCTTGTTTTGTTGTGTCTCATTGTTTTGTTGTG